TCCCGATGGAACCCACGAAACGTGTCAGGGGTGTGCCGACATGGGAGTGGGGGACGCATGTGGACGGTGGCGCGGGGGCCTTCGGTGGAGCTCCCGATAGAGCCACGAAACGTATGAGGGGTGTGCCGAAATGGGTGCGGGGGACGCATGTGGACGGTGGCATTGGGGCCTTCGGTAGAGCTCCCTTGGGCCACGAAATGTGTGAGGGGTGTTCCGAAATGGGTTCGGGGGACGCATGTGGACAGTGGCACTGGGGCCTTCGGTGAAGCTCCGTATGGAGCCACGAAACGCTGTACTGGGTGGGTGAAACGCAAGAAGGAGGGAAGAGGGGAAGGAGGGAGGAGGGAGGAGGGAGGAGAACGCGGGGACCGTCTCTTCAAAACGAAGACCCAACACCACAGGATAATTTGGAAAAACATATTTGGGGCGATGAAATCTGTGCATACCCACTGCCCTTGACTGGGCCCATCCTGGCCCCAGGAGCAGTGTGTATGCCCTCCCGGCTTGGACAGGGATGCATGCGCACCACTCCTGGACTCAGGATGGGCCTGGTCAGGAGCTGTGGATGCGCATAGATCTCGTCGACCCAACAACACGCTCGGCTGGCGACCGCCACCAGACCAGGCCGTCCGCGGGGAAGGCATGCACAGGATTGGAGGGCGGAGCGCCGGGCCGCCAGTGGAGGGCGGAAGGTTCGAGGTTGAAGGTTCGAGTTTCGAGGGTCGAGAGTGAAGGCTCGAGGTTTAAAATTAAAGTTCAAGGTTCGAGGTTCGAGGTTCGAGGGATCGAGGGCGGAGGGGCGAGGTTGGTGGGCGGAGGCTCGAGGTTCGAGGTTCGAGGGTCGAGGGTGGAGGTTCGAGGCTCGAGGGTGGAGGATCCCAGGCCCTCCGCGCGGACGGCATGCACAGGAATAGAGGGCGGAGCGCCGGGCCAGGGAGCTGCGCGGCCCGCATACCGCCCCATCGAGACGGCGCGAGCCGAGCCCGAGCGCGGCACACCGCGCTCGCATCGAGGGCGCCCACCCGCGCACGCGACACGCTCCCCGCCACACAGAGCCCCCCGCGACTGGCGGCGCCGCCAGGGACACTCCAGCACTGGTCCCATCGCGCGGGCCGCCGAGAAGTCCCTTCGACAAACGTGTTTCAAAGTTGCTTCGGGGGGCCCGAGAAGTTATGGTGACCACACTGCGTGGTGAGTCAGTGGGGATTCGAGAGACCACCAACGAGAAACGAGACTGGCATGCAATCAGCGGTTGTGCTTCCATGTAGCGGCGGGGCATCCTCTCCCCGGCCCCTTGGAAAATATCCGCGAAAGTTGCGGCGGCGACGGGGGCACGCATGCGCGTGGGCCTGAAGATCGAAACGCAAACGAAAGTCACTCCACACGGGCCCACCCGACCCATGCCGTCAAAATTCCTGAAGGCCGGAAGACTTGCCGACGCAATTAATCATAGACCTGCGGCCCTTCGCACAGAACCCACCACAACTCGAGTTCCCAGGACCTAGAGCAAAATGGTTTTCATGGGACGGATCCCGAGAGCACGCATCCATTCCGATACCTTGTACCTGGACCCCTACTATGCGAACAAAGTGGTCGAAGAACGGCACTGCCCGTTAAACTCTGGACGTTTCCTAGCAGAGTCGCATTAGCATCAAAGCTGGTAACAAGGTGGAGACAAATATATTGGTTACCCAAGCGTTGAAGAACATCACATGCACCCCCCCCCCGGCAGAGCGGATCCCCCCCTCCTCCCCTGCTCCCCCCCCCTCTGCAGAGCAGACCCGCCCTGCAGCCCCCCCTCCTCCCAGAGCGGACCCCCCCCCCTGCACCACCCCCCCCCTCAGAGCACCCCCCCCTGCAGAGCAGACTCCTCCTGCAGCCCTCCCCACCCCTGCAGAGCGGACCCCCCCCTCCTCCCCTGCACCCCCCCCCTCTGCAGAGCAGACCCCCCCTCCTGCAGCCCCTCCTCCTCCCAGAGCGGACCACCCCCCCCTGCAGAGCGGACCGCCCCACCCCTCCCTGCAGCCCAGCCCTCCCCCCCGCTGCAGAGCGGATCCCGCCCCGCGCAGCCCCCCCCCTGCAGCGCGGACCCCCCCCCTCCCTGCACCCCCCCCCCCCCCCTGCAGAGCAGACTTCCCCTCCTGCAGCCCCCCCCCTTCAGAGCGGACCACCCCTCTCCCTTGCAGTCCCTCCCTCTGCCGAGCGGACCCCCCCTGCAGAGCAAACCCCTTCCCTGCCCTCTCCCCTGCAGTCCCTCCAATTACCGAGCGGACCCCCCCTGGAGAACAGACCCTCCCCCTGCAACCCAGCTCCCCCCCCGTCGTCGTCGTCGTCGTCGTTGTCGTATCATCATCTTGCGGAGCGCCCCGGATCGGCGGCACTGGCCAGAGGCCACTACAATATATTGGTTACACAAGCGTTGAAGAACATCACATGCACATGCTCCGCCCTTGGTGCAGTCTAAAAACGCCTTGGGTTCCCAAGCTGATGTGTAATGCCACAAAACAGCCATCCGAAAGTAACAATGCGCAAGCATAACTGCCATACGCGAAGTCAGCGACGCAGGAAGCCAAAGAAATGAGAATGGCAATGCCAGAGGTTCACGGTGAATTAGATTGACAGGCGAGTGTCGGCACTCTTTGGTGACCGAGGTCAAAGACGCCTTCGTAGACACACACACACACACACACACACACACGCCATGGATAAGATTGGGACCCTCTTGCAAACAGATGGCCGCAGAACCTATGCTCCTCGCTTTGTGAGCCTTCCCCCCCCCAAAAAAAAAACGCAACGCTCCATAGGGCATCCTGCACGCGTTCCGTGAAATAATGGAAAAACTGTCAATGGTCGACGTATGCCGCTCATAATGACCCACCAACGGGAGCCACGGGCCCGCCAAGCGGAGAGCAAGACCAAGTTAGCATTCGCAATGGTCTCGACCCCCAGGACGCGCAACCCCTCTAAGCACCACTTGGCCACTCTGGACTCCGTCATACCTGCCGAGGGGATGGCAGGGACCTGGACGTCCAGAGGCTCGACGGAAATCGCGAAGTCAGGGCCCAGGAATCGCGAACCCTGTAGGGGCTCTTGGAGGAGGCTGTTCCTGGGCGTAGTTTTTGAAGCGCCCAAGCGCGGAATACAACTTCTTCCGTGCCGACTCTGGCTCCAGAACGTGACTTTAACTGTACGTAGCCAACGACTCTCCCTGCCCTGGAGGTCCCACACGGTCTCCAGCTGGTTGAACCCAAGCAGTCCATGATGGTCTGGATGAGCCCTGGCTTCAGGATGAGGATGCAAATTGAGTGCGTCCTCTCGACTCGAACGGGGGACCCCAAGGCTGTCCCGAGCATCCTGTGGCAATGTCGCCTGGAGAACACCGCCGCCAACTCACGAGAGACACCCTCAGCGAACCGCGTACCGAAATTACTTGCAGCAATCATTGATGCCGACGTAAGACGGCACGCGTTTGGTCGAGCTCGCGACGGCCAGGCCCGAGACACGTTTCTTCACATTGCTCGTAGATGCCTCCAGCGACTCCACCCGGAAAGCAACTGGAGCCAACTGCTGCCGAACGACCTCGCAGAAAGCCGTGGGCCAGCCTGCAGGAAAAAGCCCTGGAAACGCCATGACTTTCCTGCGCACGCGCTGACATAAGCAAGACACTGGCACCGAAGCCTAGGGGCCTACAGGACTTACCAGTCATGTGGAGCAAAATGAAGGCGTCACCCCTCCCCGTGACCAGGAACGGGTTGATGCCGCCGTGGCTCGCCTGCAGGGCTGCTTCATCGTGATTTAAGTCGCTGATGCTGTAGCAAGTTCGGCATAGCTCGAAATACCTCTCTAGGCCTGCTTGAAACAATTATTCACGCCCTGCAGGTGTGTTGACGCTTCCGGCACCGTCCATTGCATCTCGCTCCGCTACCGCGCAAATTCCCCAGGAGGAAATGATGGCAACTTGCTTCTGCAGTGGCAAATAACAATATACCTGCAGGCTTCACTCTAAAAACCGATTGCTTAAGTCAAACAGCAGCGGCCATAACTGCTCTGGCGGCCTGTCCGCCGCAGGTCTCCACGGACAGATCCTGCTAACTCTATATGGTGCTTCATCTGCTACGCTCCCCGAGGCACGGGAGCCGATATTCTAGGACGTCCTCCTACTCCTTCTCCTCCTCAATCCCCTCATCCTATCGCTGTCGCTGCTGGCTCCACTATCGACCACGACGTGGCCGTCCTCCTCCTCCACCTCCTCCTCGTTCCTCCTCCTCCGTCCTCCTCCTCCTCCTCCTCCTCCTCCTCCTCCTCCTCCTCCTCCTCCTCCTCCTCCTGCTCATCCTCTTCTTCCTCCTTCCCTCCTCCTCTTTCCACCATTCCTCCTCCTCCTCCTCCTCCACCTTCGTCCTTCCTCCTCATCCTTCCTCTTCCTCCTCCTTTACGTCATTGCATTATGTTTCGTCCTTCGTTCCTCTCCCTTCCTCTCATTTCCTCCTCATCCCTTCCTCCTCTTCCTCCTCCTTCCTCCTCCTCCCTCCCCCCCTCTCCTCCTCCTCCTCCTCCTCCTCCTCCTCCCCCCACCACTCCTCTCCTCCTCTCCTCCTTCCTCCTCCCTCCTCCTCCTCCTCCTCCTCCTCCTCATCATCATCATCATCATCATCATCATCATCATCATCATCATCATCATCATCATCATCATCATCATCCTCATCATTATCAGCATATCAGCATCAGCATCAGCATCAGCATCAATCATCATCATCATCAATCATCATCATCATCATCATCATCATCATCAGTCATCATCCTCACACCTCATCATCATCCCATCCTCATACTCATCCTCATCCTCATCCTCATCGTCCTCCTCCTCCTCCTCCTCCTCCTCCTCCTCCTCCTCCTCCTCCATCCTCCTCCATCCTCCGTCCTGCCCCTTCCTCCTCCCCTCTCCTCCCTCCCACAACCTTCCTCCCCCTCCTCCTCGGGAGAGGGCTCGGGGGTCGGTCCGCGGGCGTCGGCGGGCCGCCGCTCTCGGGCTGCACGCCCCCCCAGTTGCCAATCACGAACGCGTGGCGGCTGCCTGGGCCGAGCTCCCGCCCACCCTGGGGGGCGCTGAGCCTGCCGTCGAGGAAGGAGAGGGCGGATGAGTCGGCCCTGGGGTTCCGTCCGCCAGGACGGCGTGGCGCAAGCAGCATGTGAGGGATAAAGTTCGAACCAATGTCCTTAACGAGTACTCGTCTTAGCTGGCCAGAATTATATATCTTCGGTGTTGGGACAATGAACAAGTATAATGTGTGAATCCGTTTTGTTATGTTTTTTCCTGTGCACGTGGGATTGGCACTTCTTCCTGGGTCTCAATGGTTAGTTGGATTGGGTCTCCTGCGAAGCAATGCCCCAACTGACACTATTCGAGCTGAAGGCCAGTCTCGTGTCACCAGCTGCGTATCCGCACTTGCTGTTCGAAGCTGCATTCTTCTGTGTGCTGGCATATGTGGTCTTGCCGTGCCCGTCGACTTGCCAAATACAATTGTGCTCCAGTTGCTTCAACGTTTCTTCATCGGCTTGATTCTGAAGCCTCTGGAGTTTCCAAACGCAGGGACCCTGTAAACTTTGCGCGTTCGTGCTCATATGGTGGATGTCCTTAGACTTTCGCCACTTGCAGTCGCAATGGTGCTTTGGCACGGTTCAAGATGTTCAGACGGCTGTCTTCCCACAAGCACGTCCCTCAGTGAAAACGACCTGGGAACGCGGAACTTCGAGGGAGCGTCACTTGCAACATCGTTGGTGAATATTGGGTTTGCACTGGTCTTCTTCTAATTCCTCCTCCTCCTTCCTACCACGCGGAGTACTTCGATGTTGAAATCACGACGCTCCCCAGTCCAGACAACTCGCTGAACCGCCGCGAAATGTGAACTCGATCTCTTTGCTACCGCGTCGACGAAGACGAGGTCGAGTTCACGACCCGTCCTTATCAGACAAGTCGTCGGAATTGCGCTCTTCCTACATACACCCTCCGTCCTGCTGCGCCGTTGCACAGGCACGGCGGCGGGCTTCACCGCAGGCACTCGGACGATGCTGCCCTCCCCCGCCTCACCTCCTCCTCCACCTCATCCTCGTCCTCTTCATATGTTTGTCACACGCTACATACTGGTTTCGCCAGCTAGCCAGCTTTGCTGGCAGAGCGCTGCGATGCATACAGCGAGCAGGACTGGCAACGGTTGAACAGTACGAGGCACTGATGCGACGGCGAGCCCCCATTCTACACGGGCAAATCCGCGCAAGCACTGGTTATGTCAATGTTGTGTGGTTCCTTCATCTTGTTATCGCGATTAGGATTGCTGGCATTCTTGCTATTGTTGTATGCAGCGTTCAGATTCATACTCGTGTGATTTTTACTGTTAGTATCAGTATCGGCATTATCAAAATTAGCGTGATTGCTAAGTATAATGAGTATGTGTATAGTTATCGATAGTATAGAAAGTATTGCTACTAGTGTAACTGGTACTGCTCGTATGAAGTCAAGTGGTAAGAGTAGTATGGTTGGAATTATGATCAAGAGTGTTGCACGCCGCAGTGTTCGCATTAGTATTATGAGAATGTCAAATCTCTTCGCAGTATTGGCATCATTCCTCAAAGTCTTCTTCATATTACTAAATGCCGTAATACAAAAATGTGCGCATGAAAAGTAATACAACAACCGGAATCCCCAATATGATTCAGACTGGTGGTATTAGTCTTATCAGAAAATGTTCATTCGTACGAGCACTCCTGCATCATCATGCTGATCCAACATATTCATAATCGTAGCACCCCCAGTGGCATCGTTATTATTATGACGATGCTCATGTTTTCCAGCACTCTGTATGAATCCTAGCATTGAGATGCACGCGAACGGAAACCGTGAGGCGCGATGTCAAGAAAACACCCTCAAGGGGGCACCCACGCCACCGGAGAGCTTACATCCAAGGAGGATGAGGGGAGGAGGAAGGAGCCAGAGAAAAGCTTGAACCATCACGAGTACGAACGGGCTCGACTCGGATCGGGGGCTCAGCGGCGATTTATTCGCTCTGTCACACCTGGATAAATCCTGAAATGACGGTGCTCCTTGTTCCAGCACTACGTGCGAAGCCTAGCATTGACATGCACGCGGACGGAACTCGCGAGGCGCGATGTCAAGAAAACACGCTCAAGGGGGCGCCCACGCGACCAGAGAGCCCACGCCATAGTCCATGGTTTGTTCTGGCGCAGCCGCTAGGAAGACACGAGGCGGGCCACCTGCGAGTACAATTTTGCAAGGTGTCCTTGGGCGCGGCGGGCCGAAAAAAACGCCGTTGTCATCTTTACCAGACAGGGGGAAGTGAGGACGGCCAGCGACGCCTCACACTCCACGAGAGCCTATACACTTGGCTTCGAGGGAGGCGGCAGCCTAAAAGTTGCACAGACGAGTCGCCCCTTTCCTCCACTTTGCACCGCATCTACAGCAGTCAACTTCAACTCTGGAGAAAAAAAAAAAAAAAAAACCCGAAAAAAAATGGAGGCGACGGATACCTGGTGCATTCCAAAGGATACTAGCGCTCGGGATCCCCAATACCGAACGGACTCTGCGTCGATGACAACACCGGAGAGAGCGAATGACACAGCGCGTGAGCACATTCGACTCGGCAGCCTTCTGGGGGCCTTGGACGAGAGACCAGGCAGGCCCAGAGGACACATGGTGGATCTGAAAGGTCCTGCACGGGCGCCTCCAGCACGCGCGCGGCTGTAGGCGTGGCAAGGCAGCCCAGACCAGACGAATCGGATCTGTCCAGATCGAACCCAATCGAGAAGATGTTCCTGCGCGCCCGACTTCGAGACATCAAAGCCAGGCCCACCCAAGATCTCGTAGACCAAAGCGGGCACCCCGCGCGCGACCAGAGCCCCGCTGACGCCCGCCGCGCCGGCGAAGACCTCTATGGCGGCAGGCTTCGCTTGCGCAGCGGAAGCGGGGCGCTGGGCGGCAGTCCGAGGAGCCACC